TCGCACGGTATTATTTGGCACGGACCGTGCCACCCCGGCACGCGCGCAAGAACGTTCGACTGATTTCGACATGCGCGCGCGAAGCTCATTTGGTAGGATTTGATGAAACATTTGGAGAAACCTATGGTTTTCTGAAGAATTCGCAAGAGCGCGCGCGCACGCTTTTGTTGAACATTCGTGTTGTGTAACCGTGTGTTTTTGTTTGTTACTTGGACGCTCGATTTTGAATTCCGTTCGAAACCGACGGCTTTGAAATAATTTCGGCATGCGCTCGCGACGGCGCGCGCGCGTGCACTTCGTGCCGTTTTCTGCATGGGATTCTCGCGACGGCGCGCGCGCAAGGGCGTTCGAACGATTTCGACATGCGCGTGCGCGAAGCCCGTTTGGTAGTGTTTTTGTTGAAAGTGTTGAAGAGCTTATGGTTTTCTTAGGAAATGACACGAGCGCGCGCACGCTTTTGTTGAGCAGCAGTGTCGCGCAACCCTGTGTTTTTCTATGTTTTTCGGACACTTGATTTTGAAACTCCTCCGAAACCACCGTTTTTTTATGATTTCGGCAAGCGCGCACGACGACGCGCGCGTGTTCATTTTGTCGAGTTTTTGCGAGGGATTTCTGAAAAAAAACCATGGTTTTTGATTAACGAGTGTGCGCGCGTAAGATTTTTTTCCGGAGGATGGCGGGGGGGGAGGTCGAGCCCGGCCTGAATTCACAGGTGGGATGGACATTGGGTCAAAATCGTTTGCGTTTTACACAGGTTCCCGGGATGGTGGATAAGTCTGGGGGGGGAGGGTCGTCTATTTTATTTTCTAAGAAAGGAGAGTGTGTGTGCGTTGAGGCGACGGCGGCGGGCGGCGACGGGCGGGGATGGCGGCGACGGGCGTCGACGGCGACGGGCGGCGACGGGCGGCGACGGGCGGCGCGGGCGGCGACGGGCGGGGATGGCGGCGACAGGCGGCGAAGGGTGGCGACGGCGACGGACGGCGACGGGCGGCGACGGGCGGCGCGGGCGGCGACGGGCGGGGATAGCAGCGACGGGCGGCGACGGGCGGCGACGGCGACAGGCGGCGACGGGCGGCGACGGGCGACGATTTTGCGGGGAGGGTTCCGAGATGGTTAACGCAAGTCAGAACCCCTGTGTGCAAGAATTTCTCTCGGAAACAGAAAATGCACGTGCGTGCGTGTGTGTGTATATATATACACAGGTATATGTTCGTATGTATGTATGTATGTATGTATGTATGTATGTATGTATGTATGTATGTATGTATGTATGTATGTATGTATGTATGTATGTATGTATGCATATATACACATATATACACATATATATATAAAATATACTGGCGGGTTGGCTCGAGCCCCGCGCAGCAAGGGTAGTTGTCCTGGGTTCCGTCTTTACCCCTGTGCCCGTAGACAGCGTAGTCTATCAGGGCACACTGCCCGGACCGATTCTGTGAATGTGTATTGCGGGGACTGTTGCGTGGCAGTGCGTGCGTGTGGTTTTGACGACGTCATTTTTGCACACGACCTCAACGCTTTCAGAGGTGTTGGCAATTCGACAATTGGCGACCAGGCTATGCCGTGCATCTCTGCGCAGGCAGGGTGCCGCCAACAGGGTAGTTATCGACCCTGGCAAGGGGAGTTTCCACATCATTTATCGCAGTCGGCCTGCGTGGGCCTCGTGTGAAGTGCTTGGCGTTCGTTTCGACGCTCGCATTCTCATGGGCGACGCTATTGTTGACTTCGTGCGCGACTGCGGTTGGCGCGTTCACGAGGTATTCTGTAGCCGCCGCTACTGCGGAGATTCTGTCATGCGTCGAATATCGAACAGCGGCCTTCTTCTCGCATCTAGTTCGGCTTTGGCACCTCTGGACTTGATGCTTTCCTGATTCTCACGGGCAGTATCGATTTCAGATAGCGACGCTTGGTTCCACAGCGCTTTAGCTCCGCGCAAACTTCGTCGCGGTATGTCGACGTTTGGAGTCATTTAGAAGGTCGTGCTCTTCTACGCTCATTCTTTCGCCTGGGCTCTTCCTCCTCTCGGCGCCCCGGCGCCCGCCGCTGCCGCCGCCTCCTCGATCCGTGCCAGTTTCACGGTCCAGCTCGCTGGACCCTGAAACCCGTGTTGTTTGTATGTGCAACTTGTTACCAGGCAGCGTTGTGTTGGCCTTGTCGGTCAATGATTTTTAATCGCGCCTTCAGTGTCTGCTCTGTGCGTGCGTGGTCTTTCGTATCAAGGCTGAGTGGCAAGTGTGTTCAGCGCTCACGTCGGCCTGGCCTTTCACCTTCTCTTGATCTTCTGGGATTGGCGGCCGTGGCAATTGTTTTGTTGCGCTCGCCGTTTTCTTCTTTCCTCCCCTCGCTTCTCCCTCTCCCACCCTGCCCCCCCCGTTCCTCCCCTTCTCCTTTCCCTCCATCCTCTGTCCGCTGCTGTTCGTGTCATTCCGCCGTCTCCCCCCCTCCTCCTTTCTCTTCCCGTGGCAGCCTGGTGGGGGCCGCCGGGTGCGCGCGTCGCGCTTTGCCGCTCGGCGCGTGGCTCCTTGCCCTCTTCCTTCTTGCCCGCTCCTCCCCAGTCCTCCTGCTGCTGCCCTAGCTCTTCCATCTCCCCCTCCCTCCCCCTCTCCCCGCCCTTCCTCCCCCCTGCCCCCTCTCATTCCCTCTTCTTCCCTCTCCTTCCGTTTTCCGCCTCCCTTCCTGCTTTTGTCCTGTGTAGTTTTCGATTATTGTTGCCTGGCCTTGCCGGGGCGGCTCCGGGAGCTAACCTTAATTTATGGCCGAATATGTTTGTGGCAGTGCTTGTCTATTCCGCCTCCTTTCTCCGTGTCGGTTCGCGCGCGCGCAGCAGCTGCCCTTGCGTAATTATTATGGCAACGTTGCCAACTTTCTTTGCGTGCTTGTCATGTTTCACCGCGGTGAAATAGCTGAATCGCGGGGCTGTAAAACAGAATAGCAAAGACTTTGGAAACTGTGCTCGTGGCTCTTGTAGTTCACTTGATAACACTCGTGGATCTGCTCGCGGCTCTCAGTGCGCAGCTTGTGGCTTTTGTGGCTTAGCTGGTGGTCCTCGTAACCTTGTGTCTGGCCCTTGTAGTCCAGCATGTGATCCTCGTTCTGCTAGCGGCCCTCGTAGCTCATGTGGAGTTTCTTGTAAGTCAGCCTGTGACCCTGGTGGCTTCACTTGCGGCTTTCGTAGTTCAAGAGGTTGTTCTGATATCTCCGCTGATGGCTCTTGCAGTTGAGCTGGTGGGTCACGTAGTTCGGCTGGTGGCCGTCGTAGGTCCGCATGTCGTCCGTTGGTAGCTGTCGTCGATCGTTTAGTGGCTCTTGGAGCTCTGCTTCTGGACCCCGTAGCCCTGCAAGTGGCCCTTGTCGCTGTGCTGGTAACTCGTCCCCTTGGTTCGAATTGGAATTGTTGCCTGTCAGGTTGTAGTATTCAGTTTTCCGGTAGGCGAGCTTTGCGATGGCACGGCCTCCTTGTCTTCCTCCTCCTCCTCCTCTTCCTTCCTCCCCTCCTCCTCTTCCTCCTCCTTTGCTTCCTTCTCTTCGTAGCACAGCGGGTGGCCCTCGAAGCTCTGCTAGTGGCTTTCGGGGCTGTGCTTACGGCCCGCGAAGCACAGCTTGTTGCCCTCGAAGCGCAGCTTGTTGCCCGCGAAGCTCTGAAGGTGACCCTCGAAGATTTCCTCGCGGGCCTCGCAGGTCAGCTCGTGAGATTCTTGGAGTCCTACTTGTGGCCCTCGCAGCCCTTCTGGTGGCCGCGGGACTCCCCACGTGGTCCTCGTGGCTCTGCGCGCTGCCCTTCCAGTTCTGCCTGTGGCCCTCGTAGCCCAGCGGGTGGCCCTGGGACCTCGATGGGGTGCCCGTCGCAGCTCCGCAGGCGGGCACGGTGGCTCTGCGTGCCGCCCTCGATGTCTTGCCTGTGGCCATCGTGGTTAAAGCTGTGCGCGGCCCGCTTAGCTTCGACCAGAAGAGTCTCGCTCTCGACCCGCGGATCAAAAAAGTGGCCATCTTGGTTCAGCTTGTGGTCCGCGCAGCTCAGCCGGTGGCCTTCGCAACGCTTCTGGTGGCTCTCGTGGGTGTCGGCAGGCGGCCCTGGGACCGCAGCCGGCGGCCCTCGACGCTCAGCCGGTGGTTCTGGAAGCTTTGCCGGAGGCCCTCGCAACACGGCGGGTGGTTCTCGAAGCTCAGCTTTGTAGCCCTCGTAGCTCAGTACGGGGTTCTCGAAACTCTACTTCTTGCCCTCGTAGCTCTGCTGGTAGCCCTCGTCGCGTGGCAGGTTGCCCCGGTAGCTCTGCTGGGGGTTCTTGTAGTTCTGCTTGTGGCCTTGGTCGCTCTGCTGGTGGCCTCGTCGCGTAGCAGGTTGCCTTGGTAGCTCTGCTGGTGGTTCTCGTAGCTCTGGTTGTTGCCTTCGTCGCACTGGTGGCAGGCTGAGGCAACCATATGCGGTGTATTCGCCGAAGCCGTTGTATTCGTCGTAGCTGTTGTAGGCGTCGGAGTCGTACTCGTCGTAGGCGGCGTAGACGTGTGTTACCGGTATCTCCACGACGACGTACTTGTTGACTTCGTACTTATTGACGTTGTAGCTGCCTGTCCGCGCAGCGTATCCCACCCTACGCGCTGCCGCGCGTGCTGCTCTCGGTCTCCAGCGGCCGGGTATGGTCTCGTAGCCCTTCTCGTCGTAGATTGCTGGCGCCCGCGGCCTACGTTCCGCCATCACGCGGCGGCAGGACGTGCGGGCTGAGGCTGGCACCGCGGCCCCGGGGCCCCGAGTTCGGGGATGGATGCTGTATACGGTCTTCCTCCTCCTCCTCCGCCTCCTCCTCCTCCTCCTTTCCCTCGTCATGCTCCTCCGTATCCTTATCACCCTTCACCTCCGACGGCCCCAGAGCTTCTTAGGGCCCCCTGGGCCCCTGGACGATTTGAGAATTGCTCAGAGTTCCGAGAACCCTCCTCGTTGCCGCCACCTCCTTCACGCTCTCGCTCTCCTTGACCCTCCTGCGGCCGAGGAGTTGGCAACGACCAGCCGGAAGGATGTCCTCGGCATGAAGCCGGAGCAGCGGGGGAGGTGGCTCAACCGAGTGCTCAAGCAGGTTGCCGGAGGTTGAATGGGGAAGGAGAGGAGAGGGAGGAGAAACACGAAGAGGGGGGAGGGATATGAAGAGGAAGCGTAGGAAGTGGAGGAGCAGGAACAACAATAGGAAGCTCATGATATGATGCTGCTGATGATGAAGAGGATGGTGATGATGATGAATTCGACGATGATGATCTTCATGACGATGATGTTGGTGATGGCGATGGCCATCATGTTACTGCTAATGACGGTCATGATGATGCTGCTGATGATCATGATGATGTTGATGCTGATGCAGATGATGCTGATGTCGATGCTGATGTTGATGCTGATGTTGATGCTGATGATGATGCTGATGATAACGAAGATTAGTCTGTGAGGATGGTGATGCTGTTTATGATGATTACGATGATACTAATGTCGATTTCGAGTGTGGTGTCGATGATGAACAGGAGTAGGAGGAGGACGAGGAATAATCAGCCACAGGATGGTGACACGGATCATGATGGTGATGAGGATGCTGCTCGTGCTGCTGCTGATGCTGATGACGACGAGGAGGAGTAACGGGAGGATGAGGAGGTGGTAGTTCAGCAAGACCAGAAAGACGACGGTGACTAAGACCGCCAATTGGCAGGATGATGATGTAAGGAGAACGTGATGGAGGAGGACGGGTAGGAGATGGAGGATAAAGAGAAGGACGTGGCGGAGGACAACGAGGCTGGGGAACGGGACCATGCCCAGGAGGGGGAGGAGCAGAAGCAGGATGATGATGCTGATGATGATGCTGATGATGACGCTGCTGATGATGATGCTGCTGATGATGATGCTGATGATGATGATGATGATGATGCTGATGATGATGATGATCATGATGATGGTGGTGATGATGATGATGATGCTGCCTCTGATGTTGCTGCTGCTGCTGCTGCTGATGATGATGTTGATGATGCTGCTGCTGCTGCTGATGATGATGATGAGGATGATGATGAGGAGAAGCAAGGCCAGCACGACTAGGGGTAGGAGTAGGAGGAGGAGGAGGAGGAGGAGGAGGAGGAGGAGGAGGAGGAGGAGGAGGAGGGGCAGGAGGACGCGAGGCAGAAGGAGGGTGATGATGAGGATGAGGTTCTGGAGGAGGATTGGAAATATGAGGATGGATTTGGAGGAGGAAGAGGAGAAGGCATAAGACCACGAGCATGAGGACGAGGAAAGGAGGACCAGAGTAAGCCCAATATTCATCAATGATGCTGCAAGTCTCTAAACTTATTCAAGAGGCTTACGCCATTCTGGCAACCCCCAGAAGAGGCGTGGAGGCCACGGTTGAGGCGTCGTGGGCTTCTTGGACACTAGGTGGGATTCTTGTGGGCGTCTTGGGAGCTGTTTGGGGGCCTGGCAGAGCCTGTGGGGACATTTTTGAAGCGTGTTAGGGGCCGCCTTGGGGCTTATTGGGGGCCTTTGTGGGGGCCTCTTGGGGCGGAAATATAGGATTTTCGGTTCGTGTTCTCCCTCTTCGCCTCTCTTGGGGCCCTCTTGGGGCGATCTTTGGCCGTCTTGGGCCTCTCTTTGAGCCGTCTTGGAACCTTCTTGTGCCGTCCTGGGCCCCTCGTAGGGGCCTCTTTGGCGGTTTTGGGGCGGTCTACGGGACCCCTTGGGCCGTTTAGAGCGTCTGAAGCTCGAGAAGACGATAACCCCAGAAACAAAGAAAAGCCGAAAGAAAATCGTTGAGTTTTGCCTCTCGGGGCTCTATTGGAACGGCTCTTGGAGCGTCTCGAAGGCATCTTGGGTCATCTTGGAGCCATCGTTGGCGTCTTGGGCCAATTTTCCCGCGATTCGGGACCGTCTTGGAATTTCTTTGAGGCCACGGAAGGCAGATTTGGAAGCTCTGGGCTCTCCAGGGGTGCGCCGGGGAGCCCGGACACCCCCCGTTGCCCCCTCCCCCCCCTGCCTTCCTCCCCTCCCCCCCCCTCCCCCTCCCCTCCCCCTCCCTTTCCCCCCCCTACCCCTCCCCTCCCCCCCCTTAAATGGGATTTTGGACCCTAGGGAAGCGGGAAAGGGGGATGGGGGACAGCCAATCATCTCACACGCCTTCCCACCCCAGGCAAGCGGGGGTTGGCGGATTCTCTTCAACTGCAGAAGCGAGGCCCTGTCTTGTTGTAACGACTTTTCATCCTCGAAGCTATCAGACATGCAAAGAGGTGGTGCCATATAGTGTAAATAAGTTTTTCGCGGGAGCTCAGTTTTGAAACATATATGTCCTCCATCCGTGCAAGCACTGCACAGCTTCAAACGGTTGTCGTCAACCTCGCGAAAGTCTCACGCGAGAGCTCCATTATAATTGCCTGGCGAAATACCCAACCATCTGTATGCATGTCTGTATGTCTGTAAGTCTGTATGTCTGTATGTCTGCCTGTCTGTCTGCCTGTCTGTATGTATGCATATATATATATACATATATATATATATGCATGCATGCATGCATGTAAGATATATATATATATATATGTGTGCGTGTGTGTATGCATGTATGTTTGTATGTATGTATGCATGTATGCATATATCGATATATGGGTGTGTATGCTTGTGTATATATGTTTGTATGCATGCATGCATGCGTGTATGTATGCATGCATGTACGTATGCATATGTGTATGTATGCATATGTGTATGAATGTATATGTATGTATGTATGCATGTACGTATGTATGTATGTATGTATGTATGTATGCATGTATGTATGTATGTATGTATGTATGTATGCATGCATGCATGCATGCATGCATGCTTGCATGCATGTATATATTTATGTACGTACGTATATACGTATATATGTTTGTATGCGTGTATGTATGTATGCATGCATGCATGCATGTATGTATTTATGTATGCGTGTATGTTTGTATGGGTACGTGTATGCATGAACGTGTCCATGCATGTATGCATGTATGCATGTATGCCGCATCCACATATGTATGCATGCCTGTATGCATGCATGCATGTATGCATGTATGTATGGATGGATGTATGTGCATGCATGTATGTACTGTAATGTCTTGCAATGGAATATATTGTAATGTAGGGTAATGTAATGTAATGTAGTGTAATGTAATGCACTATAATGAAAGTTAATGGAATGGAAGGTAATGTAATGTAATGTAATGTAATGTGATGTAGGGTAATGTAATGTAATGTAACGCACTGCACTGCAATGCAGTGCAATGCAATGTAATGTAATGCCATGTAATGTCATGTAATGCAGCAATGTAATGTAATGTAATGTAGTGTAATGTAATGTAGTGTCATATAATGTTATGTAATGTGTGTATGTATGCAGTTGTGCATCCCACAGTTGTGAGTATCGTCTTCACTGAAGCTCCCCATGAGGCCTCGAAAGCGTGACGGGTGTGCCGAACTGGGTGCGGGACGGCATGCGAATGCCGCCACTGGGCCTTAGGTGGAGCTCTCTAACGAAGCGTGTGAGGGGTGTGCGGACATGGACATGCGGAGGGCTGAGGCAGGGATAGGAGGAGGGCGGTTGGTGGGTGGAGGAGTGAGGAACGCGGGGCGCCGCTGATTCAAAACGAGGATCCAACACCACTGGATGGTTGCGGAAAAGGAGCCGCCTCCATCCGAGTAATTGTTCCGCAACTTTGAACTTCGGGTCGTAAAACTTGAGGGGGTCTCAAGTGGGAACCCCATTTTGACAAGGAGCCGCCCTCCATTGGCCAGCTGGTGTTCACCCACGACGGGGTTGCGGAGCCTTTTGACTTTTGCTTTTTTTGCCGCCTGCCCGTGGCACCCCGGTTTTGGCCTCTGTGCCGTTCGGCCTGTCAGGCACGTGCGCCCTCCGCCTAACGGTCGGTCTTGAGTCTTCTGGTCGTTCCCTCTCCCCCTTCCTCTCTCTCTCCCTGTCCTTGTCCTTGTCTCTTCCTCTCCCTCTCCCACTGAAGCAGAGGCCGCTGCCACTGCTCAGTGGCTTCTGCTAGGAGAACAAAGGGATTGAAGTAGCTCTTGGGATTAGCTCTCCGCCAGTGCGCCCATGTCCAGAACTATATCCTATCCCTCTCCTTCTTCCTTTCCATCTTCCTCTCCGTCTCCCGCCCTCTCCCCTCTCCCTCCCGCCCTTGACCCGGCCCAGGTGTCGGAAGGCAGGGTGAAGGCCAATGAGGTGTACGACTTGATATCCCTGCCGCGGTTTACCGACGGCATCCCGCCGAAGGCCCTTCGGCACTGGGCCCCGCTTCGTCTCCTAGCCCTCCGATCGCCCACGGTCGCAGAAGGGGCGGAGGAAGTGGATGCTCCCTCGTCCTTGCTCACTTCTCTTCCTCTGGAGGTCTCCGGAGGCGCCCAGGTGTCTCCAGAGAGGTCTGCGGATATCTCGAGTGGAGACGTTTCTGGAGGTCCCTGTCGGTGACCTCCCGAGCAAAGGCGTCCAGATATTCGACAGAGAGCCAACCACATTCGAACAATTCGGAAGAGCAGGAGGAGGAGAAGGCCGAGGAGGAGGAGGAGGAGGAGGAGGAGGAGGAGGAGGAGGAGGAGGAGGAGGAGGAGGATGATGATGATGATGATGATGATGATGATGATGATGATGATGAGGAGCAGTATCGAAATGCCACGTGCGGGGGATCTGCCACCGTCCACGTCGATGGCGAGGGCACCTTGGAATGTGCTCAGCTGTTGAGTAAGACCGACTGGAGTGGAGAACGGAGGGCCCACTGGTGGAGCGAGGTTTACTTTGGGCTCGGACTGGCCTTTTTCGCGAAGGGTTACTCCCAATTGCCATGCGCGTCGATTACAGACGGCCGCACTACCCACTGGGACTGGAATGACAGTCGAGAACCAGATCGACCAGTGAAGGATGAAGCTGCCTCTTTACGAGCTTCGGACGAAGACCTCCTCCTCGTTCAGGGGCTACACGAGACTGAGAGTATGAAGAAGGATTGTTAGCGAGGACGGAAGGTCGCCCCGACTTCGAAGGATGGAGTGCCGCCTCTGAGGAAATACCCTAGCACCCCGCAGTTGCGGATAAGAGTGAGGGGGCGGCGGGGACGTCGGCATTCTGCGAGCCTCCGAAGAAGCCCGCTGCAGGCGCTTGATTTTCACACATTATTCAACGAGCCTGCTGCAGGAGCCGATTTCTTCGTTACCAAAATGTGGGTGTGTCGCGGATGTGTCGCGGGTGGGTCGCGGGCCAGGTCGCGGGTAGGTCGCAGGTGTGTCGCGGGTGGGTCGCGGGTGGGTCGCGGACGGGTCGCGGGGTGGCTCTCGTTTGGTTCATGGGTGGATCGCGGGTGTGTCGCGGGGTGGGTCGCAGATGGGTCGCAGGTGGGTCGCTGAGTGGGTCGCGGGTAGGTCGCGGGTGGGTCGCGGACGGGTCGCGGGTGCGTCGCGGGTGGGTCGCGGGTGGGTCTCGGGTGGGTCGCGGGCCGGGTCGCGGGGGGGACGACGACAACAACAACGTAAGAATAAACATAATCCGCACTGTGGGGTCACACTTCACCCACACACCCAGGGACAGTGAATGACCGTTCGACCTTCTCACTCTGATGATGGTGGATATAATGTTCAGCAGATCGAGTTGCTGGACGATGATGGCGATGAGGTCGACACAGCTGCTCTTCTGTACACAGTGTGGGAGTAATGTGTCATACGTAATCAGGGCCAAGGCGTCTACATGTCTTCTAATCGGAGGTTGCAAAGGTAACGGCGAGAGTTATAACCTCAACATGCTCCTGAAAAAGGCCTGCGGCCCTCGTCCAGCGTCTCTCTCAAAAGTCCGCGTCGTCGAGGGTTTTAGACAGCTAGCCAAAGAGTGAGGTGGAATCTGTTTCTAAACGGAACTGGAGGTGAAATTGCTGGTGGTCGAGAGGGTCTTTTAGGCGGAGTGGTGTCCCAAGGACACGTGACGCCGCCCAGTGTTGATCTCTCCCGAGATCTTGCTCCTCTTCGGCCCGACCAAGTCGGAGGCCGTGGACCTCGGGAGGTCCGTGCGAGAGGTGGCGTTGTCGCCTCGTATCGAACCTGGCGCCCAGGCCCAGCTGGGCCTTCGGGGCCCTTTTTCCTGGTTCTGCCCGTCGCCCTTCTGCGACAAAAGGGCCCTTGTTTTTTGCCGTTGCATGTGTTCATGGGGTGGACCCATGCGTGCTCCCTAGCCAGCGAAGAGGGGATGGAAGAGGAGGATGAGGAGGAGGAGGAGGAAGAGAAGGAAGTTCCCCCCTCGTCGGCGTGTCCCTGCCCGTGGCGCGGTGGCTGGTTGCGTCCTCCCCACTCGTCGTGCCGCATTCGTGTCTGGCCCAGCGGCGGGACGTATGGTGGGGAGCCCAGAGGGCTCCCCGGTCGTCCTCGACGACAAAACATGATGCGAAAGTGGAGGGGCACGTTTCTATCGACAAAAAGCGAGGCGCTTCCGAAAGGGGAGATTAATTTACTATCCCTCAGCAAGAACAACTCAGCAAGTTGACGTCGGCTGCCCAATAGCAAAGGACAGCGTTGGACGCACAAGAATCTCTGAGTGCCAAGATGACGGCGAGAACCGTGCATTGGCTGCCCTCCTGCCGCTCCGAGCCTAACGTAGCCTTACAAAAAAGGGTTCGCGAAGCTGCTTCAATGAGAGTTTTTTCCCGTCCCTGGATGGAGCATTCCACGCGTTTCGTCTTTCTAGCAATTTGGGCTCGTGTGAAGGCCGCCATTGATTTGGAACAGCGCAGCGTCGGCTGCAGGAGCAGGAAGCAGCATACTTCGAAATGAATTTGGAATTTGGAATGGTCGCACCTCTTCGATGCGGGCGGGTAACAGGACGAGGAAGAGGAGGATGGAGAAGAGGGCACCCCTTGACCATTCAGTTTCATGCGCGTTACAGCGGACAAGCGGTGACCACGGGGACAACGACGACGAGCACTGCGGCGACCAGCATTGACGATACTCCAGTGTGATTTGCAGCCTTTTGCGACCTTGCGAGAAAATTGCGGCAGTGCATCGGTTCTCCATCGTCGTCATCATCGTCGTTACCACCTCCAGTGTCACTATCATCACAGTCATCATCGTCATCCTAATCCTCATCCTCAGCACCGTCATCACAGCCTTCATCATGGTCATACTAGTTCTCATCATCATTGTCACCATCGTCACCATCGCCGTAACCATGACGTCATCACCATCGCCGACGTCATTGTCACCGTCATTATCATTATCATCATCATAATCATCACCATCACCATTACCATCACCATCACCATCATCATCACCATCATCATCATCATCATCATCATCATCATCATCATCATCATCATCATCATTGTTATCACCATCATCATCATCCTCATCCTCATCCCCATCCTCATCATAATCATCATCATCGTTATCACCATCCTTGTCAGTATTGTTGTTACTGTGGTCACTCTCATCGTCACCATCATCATCACCATCATCATCATCGTCGTCGTCATCATTATCATCATCATCGTCATAACCAGTATCATCATCATCGTCATCATTTTGTAACATCGTCATCACTATCACCATCATCATCATCGTCATCGTCATCAGCATCATCGTCACCATCATCATCATCATCATCATCATCATCATCATCATCATCATCATCATCATCATCATCATCATCATCACCATCATCATCACCATCATCACCATCATCATTATCATCATCATCACCATCACCATCATCACCATCACCATCATCATCAGGGACTGCCTCGAGAAGGCCGCCTGGGATGCCGCGCGCATCCAGTCCGCTGATCGACCCCCCGGTTCGGACGCGGATGAGCGGTGCAAGCGGGCCATGGCCGTGGTCACAGACGACGGTATCAAGCGGGCCAACGGCGTGCTGCTGGGCACGCCGAGGCTCGCCCGGTCGAGCGAGCTCGCCAAGGAGATGCTCGACCTCGTTGCCGTCGACGCTGACGCAGAGCAGCGGGCCGCGACAGCGCGCGCCGTCGCCGGCGCAGCGGCGGAGCGCGCCGCTTGCATGCCGACTGAGCGCCGCGCCGTGCGGGGCCTCGTGGCATGGGCAGCGCCGGGCCCGCGCGGCTGGCTCGGCCACGCACCGCGCGGGCGGGAGCGACGCGGCGGGCGCGGGGGTCCAGGCCGCCAGCAAGGGCGCAGGGGGCTGCCGCCAGAGGCGCCCCAGGGGCCGCTGGGCGCGCTGCTGGTGGGGCCGCGGAGGCTGCCGAGCCCAGTCCCGCGCCCGCCGCCGCGGGTGCGGCGCCGAGCTCCGAGTCCAGGGCAATTGACGAGATGTTTGGTTCCGTTTCTGGCTCGGGCGGCGCGGGCGCCGCCGCCTCCAGCGCGCCTTCCAGCTCGGCGGCCGCTGGTGCAGCAGGACATGGAGGGCGTGCGCCGGCGGCTATCGGGTCGTCTGTTCCGAGGCACTGATGCGCGCCGCGCAGGGCGGCCGTGGCTTATCCTGGAGGCCGACGACGTGCGGAAGGCGAACCTGCTGTCGCACGCGGACAGGGGCAACGGCGCCTTCTGGCTGGCGATTCCGCTTCAATACCAGCGTTGGATGCAGGCCAGCACGGCGTTGTGGCAGATGGCCTTCTGCCGCCACCTGGGCGCGGTACTCGCCCCGCCCGGGGCCGCGTGCTGCCTGCAGCGCGCTGTTGCGGTCGACAACGTTGGCGAGGCCACGCGAGACTGCGGCGCGCCGCACGGCCGCCGCGCCGCCCACGCTCTGGCGTGCTCCCGCAGCGCCATCCGCCTGCGAGCGCACACTGTCGCCGTGCGCAGCCTCGAGGACGAGCTGCGCGCCGCGGGGGCCGTCGTGGACATCGAGCGCCAGATTCTCGAGCTACATCGTTCAGACTTGACGGGTCAATTCGCGACGCGATCATGGAGCATGTCGTGGGTTTCCTGGCCTCCGCTCGCGTCAACGTCCGGGCGCCCGCGGCCAACCGGGTCGCAGGCGCCGCGGCGGCGGCGGGCGGCCGCGCTCGTCTGCTGCGTTGCCGTCGAGGTTTGCGGGCGCCTCAGCGAGGGTGCGGCGATGGTCATGGCCGAGCGCGCGGCCACGTCGCGCCTGCACGGGTGTCCACGGCGACCGCCAGGGTACGACGGCGCGCGCGCTCGCGGAACGCATTAGCACGATGGTCGTGTTGTGGTGCGCTTACACGAACCTGGCGGCGTCGGGGCAGTGTGCGCCCGAGCGCGCTCTTTCGGCGAGGCATACCAGGACAAGTCAGCGATCTGGAGGCGTTCAGATCATCACCAACCTCCTTATCATCACCGCCACCATCATCATCACCATCCTCGTCTTCTTCTTATCCTTTGCCTTCGTCATCGCGATCGACACGATAGTCGTCATTTCCATCGCTACTGTCGTCGCTATCGTCGTTGTCATCATCGTTATCGTCGTCGTTGTCGTCCGCGCTCCCCCCCTCGGCAGGTGGGGAGGAAGATGGGCTTCGCTGTGGGCGAGAAGATCGACGTGTTCTCCTCGAAGCAGCAGCGGACGCTCACCGTGGGCCCTTCCTGCTGACCCCCCGCCCTGTGCAGCCCACCTCCCCACATCTGCTGAAGTACTTCTTGGTTCAGGCGGAGGAGGAATACTATGATGATGATGCTGATGATGATGATGTTGAGGAGGAGGATGATGAGGATGAGGAGGGGGAGGAGGAATCTGAGGGAGCAGGGAGGAAGGCTCGAGGTTGTGTAGACGCTGTTGGTCATCCTTGGACGTCCAGGGGTGTTTGATGGTCTTTGGAAGCCCATGGAGGACGCTGGGAAGGAGGAGGTGACGAGCAGGGCGGGGACTGGGAGTAGTTTGCGGCAGGAAGGGAAGGATGCGCTTTATCCCTTACCAGTCGGAATCTCTTCACTCCCTCCAGCGGACGATGCTGGCGCCGCACGCTGGTCATTTTTTTTTTGGGGGGGGAAGTAGAAGATTGAGGAGAAGGAGGGTGTATGCATCAGACAACAAGGACGATGACGACGATAAGGACAAAAAAGGCATTCAATGGAAGAGTAAGAGGATGATGAGGGGCAAGAGGAATCCAACGGGAAGATGGAAGCGCAGACTGATAATGCGGAATAATGATGCGGAGGAGGAGTCTGTGTGTTGATGGGCACGCGGCCGTCGATCTTGCCGCTGGTCGCCCTTCGTTCCAGGGCTTCCACTTCACAAGCCCGAAGCAGGGCGTCCACTCGGTGCGTTTCTCTGGTGAGTGTTCGTTGCAGCGCGTCCATTTCTACGGAGCCTCCGATAGGGCGCGTACCCGCCGCGGCCCCCATGGTGCGACAAAGCAGGTTTCCAAGCTTCGAATTAGGCAGGTGACGTCGTTCGAAGCAGCGATCGATCGGTTGCACAGGTTCGCCGCAGCCCGCAGTATCCACGTGAAGTCGATCGGCCGAGGGGGCGGAGGGAAAGAGCTGGCACAATGGGATTTAGAGAGAGAGAGAGAGAGAGAGAGGGAACACATGTGCTAGTGCACGTGCACACCGTATATGTGGAAGTGGGCAGAGTACTTCGATAGCAGCCCTTACGCAGGCATACCATTAGTTTTCAAATCGCGCTATCTTTGCAGGAGAAAGGGGATGATGATGCTGATGATGCTGCTGCTGCTGATGATGATGATGATGATGATGATGATGAGGACGAGGATGATGATGAGGAGGACGAGAAGGAAGAAAACTAGGAGTTCGTCAGGCGACGAGGATGAGGAAGAATAGACACAGAATTCAGTTGACGCCGTCTCGGCTCGCTCAGAGTTGCAGAGGCTGTCGTTTTCTGGCATTGGGCAGCCCTTGGGTGCGGGTGCAGGCTCACATTTTTTGCTGGGAGGGGCGGTGCAAGTGGCAACTGCGTCTGAGAAAGCAGCAGCTGCATCCTCTTCCACCCTCCTCTCTCCTCCCTTGCTCCTCCCCTTCTCCTCGTCCTCCCCTGGGGCCGGCGTGTGTGTGGCCGGGCGGCAGAAGTCTCAGTCGAGTTCTGCGCTGCGGCTGTCTCGGGAGCAGGTCCTTCTATCATGACGAAGTTCGTCAGAGACAAGGGCGCCGACGGGGACGACTCAGGACGCCCCCCATAATCTTTTTGAGTGGGACGACGGGAACGCAAAGGAGGAGGAGGAGGAGGAGGAGGAGAAGGAGGAGGAGGAGGAGGAGGAGGGGGATGAGGGGGAGGAAGAGGAGGAGGCGAGGCGGGGGAGGAGCGAGGAACGAGGAACTAGGAGAGAGGAGGGGAGGCTGAAGGATAAAGTTCGTGTTCACTGCCCCGCTCACTCAGGCTTTTCCCTCCTCACTCCTGCTTTCTCTCGCAGTGCAGAAGGCGCGCTGTCGCCCAGCACCGGGAGAGTGCCTTGAGCACGAGGTGCTCCGTCAGAAAAGTGCTTCCCTCCTCCTCCTCCTACTCTCTCTTTCTCTTTCCCTCTCCATCTCTCTCTCTCTCTATCTCTCTTTCCTACTAGTTGGCCTACCTACCTTTCTAATATCATCTTCGTTAGTTAGCATTGGTGCCATTTTGTTGTTGCTGTTCCCTACCTCTCTCTTTCTCTTTTTTTCCCTCTCGCTCTCTCCCTCCCCGTTGCTCCTCATTTATCCTCCCTTACTCTTCCTTCCTCTGCCTTCCGTAGTCGTTTTGGCTCAAGCGCCGAACTGAGGCAGTTTGTTATGACATTTGTTCATTGGTGTTGTACGCGGCAATTGTTGGTCAATGTACCGCGCGCCCAGATCATTCATCCATGCTTGGTGGAAGCTTTACCATGTGTTTTTCGCCATGCAAGTCGGACCGTACCCTGGGAATAACACATGCACATCGCCCGCCATTTTCACACACCATCTGCATAGCCCAAGTACAGAACTTCTGTGTGAATGCACGTCGCATGCTGCCAGTGCTGACCTGCACATGCTTGATGCACAATTCATTCGAGTCGTGTCTTCAGCGCCACCGTAATGCTGATACCCGCTTTCGTCACCGCTTTTCCCTTCTAGACGCGGTGCACGGTGCAGCCCACATTGGGCGCTTCTCATCCCATGCCAGACGTTCTCTGAATCAAGCATGCACGGATGCTACTGCTGCGCGTCATCGAGAGCGGTGCGATGCTGACATCCATGAGCCACAAGACATTCTGGCTCTGTGTTTGTCGACCCCTTCTACGCTACGCCTTGCAACGACGCGCACACACAAGTTTCCAGTGGAATTGCATGTCGTAGTTCCGCCGTAATGCCGCTACATACAATGGTAGCGCGACGCCCTCTTGGGCGGCAGCGCCCTCAGCGAGGAACGCACAGCGGACTTTGCTGGCCACCCCTGCCTGTTCCTCCAGGACTGCAGGCTCCTGGCCCCTTGCACTGGACTGACCCCCCCACCCCTATTTTTCTCCTTCTGCGTTGAATTCGTCCTTGTTTCTTGGGGACGGGCTGCGCTCATCTCGACAGTCCTTACGTTGTGAGCGAGCGAGTGAGCGATGAGCACGAGGAAAGGGGGTGATGATGATGATGATGATGATGATGATGATGATGATGATGATGCTGATTATGATGATGGTGGTGGTGGTGGTGGTGGTGGTGATGATGATGATGGTGGTGGTGGTGGTGGTGATGATGATGATGAGGATGCTGCTGCTGCTGCTGCTGCTGATGATGATGATGATGATGATGATGATGACGATGATGATGATGATGATGATGATGATGATGATGATGATGATGATGAGGAGGAGGAGGAGGAGGAGGAGGCGGAGGCGGAGGCGGAGGAGGAGGAGGAGGAAGAGGAGGAGGAGGATAAGGAGGAGGAGGAGGATTAGGAGGAGGAGGAGGAGGAGGAGGATTAGGAGTGAAGGAAGATGAGGAGGATAATCGGGACGGGTGCTCGGAAAGGGCAATTGGGACCTTGGGCCTGGGGGGTGGGGGTGGGGAGAGGACTTGGGGTAGGACATGTTGGATGAAGAGGAAGAGGCTGAGGAGGAAAAGGGGGCTAAGGAGGAGGAGGAGGGGGGGGGAGGTGAGTGGGAGGGGTAGAAAGTGCGGGGGACAGGGGGAATGGGTGAGTAGAATCATTGGGGGAGGGCGCGGACGAGCAGGGGGAGGAAGCGGGGGCTGCCACAGGCACCCAGGAACCCTTCGAAAGCCAACGCAGTCACACTGGGAGCGAAAGGCTTCCACCCAAGCGTTTCGGCACTTGGGGCTAGCCAGGCCAGCGGTGGCCACTTGAACGTTGCTGTTGCGTTTATGCCCCTGCGCGTCGCTAGAGGGCTCAGGCAGGGACGCCATCTAGCGTCGCTAGATGGCGTCCCTGCCTGGGACTGGTCTTCCAGCCCGGATGCTGCACATGCCTATTGGTATGAAGTAGAAGCGGGGCACGGTCAGGGGAGGCAGCCTTCTAATTTTGATCTTTCCATCCCAGTGTTTTTCCGTCTGGTTGTTTAATGCATATTTTCATTTACACATAGATAGCGGTGTTCGATATTCATACCATAATAGTCTTGGTATTCTTCGAGGAATAAGAGCACGGGGGCGATACCTTCTAGGAAACCCGCTGCCTTGTCAGAACACTGCCCCTCACCCCGCTGTCCTTCGCTCGCAGCCAAGCCTGGGAGCTTGACAATCGAGCCCGACGTCACTTCCCGCAGCGTCACAGTGAAACTAATGTTAGTCAGCGCGGACCCCGAATAATGATGTCTTGCAGTCTATGCGGTGCAATCTAGGCGGCGGAATCGATGTAGTGCAATCTAGATGGTGGAATCAATGTGGTGCAATCTAGGTGGTGCGAAGAAATTCAACGCAATGCGAAACAACGCAACGCAATGCACAGCAAAGCAATTCAATGCCAAGCACTGGGGCAATGTAAATCAATGCAACGCACCGCAACGCGATGCAACGCAACGCAATGCAATGTTAAGCAGTGCTGAACAATGCGCAGCAATGTAAACGCAATGCGAAGCGATGCTAGCAACGCAAAGCAACGCAAAGCAATGCAACGCAATGCAAAGCGACGCACAGCAATCTATGTGGTGCAATCTATCGGCGGCGACGAGCGGCGACGATGCGGCGACGGGGCGGCGACGGCGAACACAGAGCCGCCAGACCGCCTGTCAGGCCCAGTTCCTCAGGAGGGATGTAAGGATCCTTATGTACAAGCATTGTTAGGGGAATCAGATGAAGCAGCGCCATGAATAGTGACTGCACTCTCTGAGCGTGCAGTCCCTCGGAGAACTTCTCTGGCTGTAGATCGAGCGGCTCCGCAGCATATCAAATAACGTGCTGGAGACGTGTCCCGATACCTCCGGTCTAATACCTCCTGCTCTGCACCAGTACAGGCTGCACCTGCCCCCAGGGAAAATGGGGTACCTTGTTGGGGCTCTCGCCTGGGGCAGTGGACAGGCGAAGGAGGAGCAGCAGCAGGGGCAGTGTTCAAAGCAGGTTCGAGGTGATCTTGCAGGTTGCACTATGGGGTGATGATGATGGGTCATAATGATGATGATGATGATGATGATGATGATGATGATGATGATGACGACGGTGGTGACGGAGATGGAACTGGTGACGTTGATGCTGATTATGATGATGATGATGATGGTTGTGGTGGTGGTGGTGATGATGAGTGTGGTCGTGGCAGTGGAGATGATGGCGTTGCTTATGATGATGGTGATGATGATGGTGATGACGATGTTTATGCTGACGATGGCGATGACGATGATGCTGCTGCTGATAATGATGATGCTGCACAGGAAGTCGATGGTGATGCGGCCGATGATGTCGATGATGCTGATGATGCTGATGCTGCTGGAATTGATGATGGTGATACTGACGATGATGCTGATGATGATGCTTTTGCTGGCGATGGTGATACTGATGGTGATGATGATGACGACCATGATGATGACGATGATGCTGCTGCTGCTGCTGATGATGATGATGATGATGATGATGATGATTATGCTGCTGCTGATGATGATGCTGATGCTGATGCTGATGATGCTGCTGATGATGATGATGATAACGGTGATGGTGATAGTGATGGTGATGCTGCTGCTGATGATGCTGATGAGGATGCCAGTGCAGTTGTTGTGGTTGTTGTTGGGGCTGTTGTTGTAATTGTTGTTGTTTTTGTTGTTGTTGTTGTTGTTCTTGTTGTTGTTGTTGTTGTTGTTGTTGTTGTTGTTGTTGTTGTTGTTGAACATTATTTATTCTAAAGAATAATTATTGTTGGGCCCCCTGGTGCGCGCCCCCCCTGCGCCGCCTAGGCCGCAGCTACATTTTCATCATTTTCGTGAGGAAGCCTCAGAAAAGAGGGTGTGTACAGGATCCGGTTGTTTTGTTGTAATCCGCTTTCCCTTGCAAAAAACAATAGAAAATGACATTTCTTGTTCTAATATAATCAAATTTCAAGAATCCCTTGCAAAAAATAAGGTAAAGTGGACATTCGCGCGCGCAAGACGAAATCCTTCCAAAACCTTAGTGTTCGCAGCGATTTTAACATAAAAACATCAAAAAACCAATGGTTTTTCAACAAAAAAATGTCAAAATCTCATCCCGCGCGCTCTTGCGGATTCGTAGGAAACCCAACACTTTTTAAACATTTCTGTCAAACGGGCTTTTGCGAGCAACTTTTTCGAACTTCTGCGACAACGGTTGCGCACCTGCCAGGGCCATCATCCCTGTCAAATAATACCATGCGGGACACATTCGTTTTTTCTTCGCGCGCGCACGCCGAAATCTCCAAAAACCATTGGGCTTCTTAAGAATTTTAGCACCGCGCATCATAAAATCACACGAATCGCACCGTAGGTCCTCGAAAAACACCTGCACGACTTTTCAAAATTTCTACCCGCGCGCGCTGTCCGAATCCTAAAAAAAACCAATGGTTTTCCAACATTTATGTTACATGAGCTCGCGCGAGCTACTTTCGCACGCTCTTGCAACGGGGTTCGCGCGCCTGCCAGGGGCCACAATCCCTTGCGGTTGCGCCATAGGTTGCGCCCTCGGCCGCCGAGAATAAAACGTCCCCCTATTGGTTGCGCCATAGGTTGCGCCCTCGGCCGCCGAGAATAAAACGTCCCCCTACTGGTTGCGCCATAGGTTGCCACAGTCATCGGGACAACGATCGGGACAAGCACAACCATCAGGACAACCATCGGGACAATCATCGGGACAACGATCGGGACAACCACAACCATCAGGACAACCATCGGGACAACCATCGAGACAACCATCGGGACAACCATATCCTCTCTCTCTTGTGTATTCCCACATCCCTCAGGAATTTGCCCTAAAGATGTGATCAACTATCTTGTGAGTACGTATCATGTGTATCATGTGTATCATGTACCATATGCATCATATGCAACAGATGTTCTGTGGAAGGCTTAACAACTTCTGTGGGTTAACAAGGCTTAACAACTTCTGTGGGTGTACGAACGTAGGCTTAACAACTTCTGTGGGTGTGTACTCCACGCCAGTGTAGTAGCCACGGTCGTCCGCAGGCCACGAAGTGAAGTGTCCGAACGTCATAGGGCGGGAAGCTGGGTGTGGGTGGTGGCGAAGAGTCGTGTGGATATTTGGTAGAGCTTGCACTGCCCCCCCACAAAATGGGGGTATTGGCTGGCGTCGCATGAAAACCCTGGCACTGGTGAGAACACTGAGCGTTCGGGTAAAGTGATTGTTGTGGTTGTTGTTGTTGTTGTTGTTGTTGTTATTGTTGTTATCGTCATGGTTGATGTTGATGATGACGATGCTGCTGATGTTGATGGTGATGGCAACGGTGACGATTAGGTTGACCGATGGTGGTGATGATGGTGATGGTGGTAATAATGATACGGCTGAAGATGTTTTTTTTTCGGATGAAGGTGATGAGGTTAAGTATGCTGTTAGAAATGATAGTGCTGCTGATGCTGCTGCTGATGATGATGCTGATGATGGTGACGACGATTATTGTTGTGGTGATGATTCGGAGGAGGGGAAGGAGGAAGAGGAGGTGGCATCGAAGGAGGTCGGAGCAGGAGAAGGAAGAACACCAGCTGGAGGGGGTGGCGGATGGGGGCGGAAGAGGGAAAGGCGGGACAACATTTACGAGGAATTGCAGTTGCAAATGGGGTTCAAGTTGGTTGTGCGGCTTTAGGTTTTTTTTGCTGGCTCGGCAGGGTTTCAGGAGGCTTTGGGGAGGAGGAGCAGGAGGTGGGGGAGGAGGAGGAGGAGGAGGAGGATGAGGAGGAGGAGGAGGAGGAGGAGAGCCCCGCCTCCTCTCTTCAAGGAGGAGGAGGATGATGAGGAGGAGGAGGGGGAGGAGGAGGAGGATGAGGAGGAGGAGGAGGAGGAGGAGGAGGGGTGGGGGTGGCGGGGCTCGCTGGTGCCCGCCGCAGGGGACGAGCAGCCCGCTGCAAAGCGGGCGCCCGAGGAGCCCCCGAGGGAGGCGGTGACCTTCTCGATGAAAGGCGGCCGGCAGCGGGTGGGGAGGAGGGGGAGGGGGAGGGAGGAGGGGGGGACGGGAAGTCGTGGGAGGAGAGGGCAGGATGGGTAGGACGATCATGGGGTGAAGGAGGGAAGAACGAAGGACGGACAGACGGACAGAGGAGGAGGAGGAAGAGGAGGAGGAGGAGGAGGAGGAGGAGGAGGAGGAGGAGGAGGAGGAGGAGGAGGAGGAGCGACATGTTGTTGGGAGGCGTCGTCGCACTTGGCCTAAGACTCTCCGATTGGATGGGTTGTTTTCTGAAGTCGTCATGCTGTATTCCTTTGTGGCGCGGTGCTGAGGCCCTGGGCTTCTGCGTGGGAGCCTAGAGAGGGAACAGCTCCAAGTGCTACCAAGGAGGGTGCTGCTTTCTTCCCCTCCCCCATCTTATTTTCATTGGTCCCTCGTGCTAGGAATAGGCATGAACGTCTTCAGGCCCCGTCCGACCGAGGAGCAGAAAGTGGAGGAGAACGAGGAGGAGGAGGAAGAGGGAAGGGGATAGAGGAGGATGATGAGGATAAGGATACGGATGAGGATAAGGAAGAGTATGACTGACAATGTAAATACGCGGCGCACCAGCGATGATGCAACAGCCCCTCCCTCTATTTTTTTCTTCATAGGTCCCTGCATTTGTTTTTCGTAATGCAATGGGGAGATAACCGTCTGATAATCCTCAATCGTGCCAAAGTGCCATTCCTTGGACGTCAGCGCCGCGAATCAACGTGACTGTTCAGCCCAGGAGTTTCAAGTCGTACTAGAACGCAGTTCCTGGGACTTCAACACCGCGAATCAACGTGCTTGTTATGTCCTGACGCTCATTCAGTCGTGTCAGAAATCCTTCCTTGAATTTGTTGTGAACTTTGGCGACGAATAATTTGCGGGGCGGTAGCGCGAGAGCCACATTGTGGAAAGGAACCGCCTTCATCCTTGAATCTGTTGCAAGCTTTAAGACGAATGTGCGCGGCTTTAAGGCGAGAGCCACATTTCGAAAGAGGAAGCGCTCCCCTTTTCGTGAAACTGATGCGAGCTTGTAGTACGAATGTGTGCGGCGCTAAGGTGAGAGCCACATTTTGGAAAGGACGCGCTCTCCATCCTTGAAGCTGTTGCAGAATTTCAGACGAGGGTGGGGTGCACGGCGCTAAGGCGAGAGCCGCATTTTGAAAAGGAGCCGCCTCGCTCCGTGAAGCTGTTGCGAGCTTGTAATACGAAATTGCGCGGTGCAAAGGCGAGAGCTAGATTCAAAATTGAATCTGCCCTCCATCCGTGAAGCGGTTCCATTTTTTTCAAGACGACTGTGCGCGTCGCTAAGGCGAGAGCCAACATTTGAAAGCCACCCGACCTCCATCCTTGAAGCTGTTGCAAATCTCAGGCGTCAGGATCATAAATGGTGAGGAAGTCTCAGGCGAATTGCCTGGCCCGCTCTGCCGAGACGTCCGAGGGTGCGACAGGGAGGATATATGTAGAAGGAAACTGGAATGAGGAAGGGGGGAAGGGGAGGACGAGGACGAGGACTATGAGAAAGAAGAAGAAGAAGACGACAAGCAAAACATAATAAGAACAATCGGAAACATAGTAGTAGTTTTAATGATATCACTCTTATTTTTCTTCTTCTTCTTCTTTTTCTTCTTCGTCTTCTTCTTCTTATTCTTTTCCTTCTTATGATTAATTCTTAGTATAAACAGTAACAGTAAGAAAACAAAGAGCGGACGGGGAGGGGGAGAAGCAGCAGGAGTAGGAGTTAAGCTCGCCAGCTCGACTGAGTCAGCGAGCCCCGCCCACTCCCACTGGCTGTAGGCACTGGTGTGCCTCCCCACCTGGCGAACGGAAGGCGCTCGCGCCCGGCTTCGCTTCCGACGACTTTGCGAGCGGACAAATGTAGTCCGCGCGCAGGCGGGATCCGAGCTCTCAGAAAATCTCTGCCTGGCGCTTCGGCGAGAGCAACAACCGCTTTTCATGTGCGCGGCCAGTTCTCTGATATGGGCGGTGAAGAGCGGACATGCGCCGCGCCGAGGCGAGAGCGCCACTTTCTGGCGAAATGTACGCGGCGCTTGTCATGGCGCCAACATCGCAGAGCGGATTTCGTTCGGAAAACAATAGGATGGGCCCGGAGTGTCCTGGATTTTTTTTCTGGATTTCGAGGTGAGTTTCGTGCGGATTTTTTGGCTTTGAATGAAGACCAGCAAAAATCCACGCGAAATTCACTTCGTTTCGTTTTGGGGTTTTACTTTGACAGAAATCCACGTAGAAATCCGCTGCAGCACGTCTGCAAGGCCGGTGCAATGACGTCTGGGCGAGAGCGACAATTCGCCCGCTCCCAAGCGGCCCCGTTTCCTCTTTCGACGACTCGGCGAGCGAAGCAGATGTGCCGCACCAACACTTTCAGAATCTGCACGGCGAGAGCATCATTTCGCCCGCTGGCGCGCGGACCCGCGTCGGACGAATTGGCGAGCGAATGAAGTGTGCGGCGCTGATGCGAGCGACATTTCCACACTTCGCGCGCGATTTGCGTCGCGTCCAATCCGTGGCGTGCGTTTTACAATGTCGACGACACATCCCATGTTGAACGGTACTTCATTTGACGTGTAGGCTGAACCCCCTTCGACATTTTTGCAGAGTGGAGGTGTGTATGCATAGGCATGCCAGACACGATTACGTTCAAAGGTTGGAATCGGAGGCTTTCCCAGGCCTCCAGGCCTTCTCTTCTGGGGGCTTACCAAGGGCTCCCAGGAGCCCCCAAGGGGTCTCCCGAGTGGGCTCGACGAGGCATCCCGTGGGGGCAGGGGGCGGGCGCCGCCCCCCGCGACCTCCCCATCCCTCACCTCCCTCCATCCTCCCACGTCCTTTTCTCCTCCCACCTCCCTCCACCATCCTCCCGCCTCTCTCCATCCTCCCGCCCCCCCCCCCCCCCCCCCCGTTCGTCCGTAGGAGGTAGGAGGAGGAGGAGGAGGAGGGAGGAGGAGGAGGAGGAGGAGGAGGAGGAGGAGGAGGAGGAGGAGGAGGAGGAGGAGGAGGAGGAGGAGGAGGAGGAGGAGGAGGAGGAGGAGGACCCAATCCGCTCCGACCCGTCCTCTCGCCTGCCTCGGAGCTCTCCCACACTCGGTCGCTCCCTCCCTCCCTCTCTCCGCCCTGGTCGCCCAGCGCTCTCACCCCTCGCTGGCGCGGCCCGCCCGGAGCCGCCCTGGCCCTCCCCGGCGCCCTTGCCCACCAGCGCCCGCTCCGCTCCGCTGATCCCCTCCAGGCAAGAGACCCGCGATATTGCCGGGCGACGTGGGAGACAAGGAGGAGAGGGAGGCGGAGAAGAAGAAGGCGGAAGAGGCGAAGGCAGCTCCCAGCCGCACGCGCAAGCGCGCGCGCTCTCACTCTCCTTGCAGGGGTCGCTCGTAGCGCGGGCAGGCCTGACATGATCGCATACCATGAGCATCACTCGAAGCATGTCAGAGGGCTTCCGTATGCTCGCGTGCGCCATGGAACCATGTGAAGGAGGAGGAAGGGGAGAGGGAGGAGGAGGGGGACGGGGTTTGGGATGATTCAGCCGACGATGATGATGATGATGCTGATGCAGATGATTATGATGATGGTGATGACGATATGAGGATTCTATGATGATGGCGATGGTGATGGTGGTGGTGGCGATGATGATGCTGCTGGTGATCATGCTGCTGATGGTGGTGGTGGGGGTGGAGTTGTCGAGGATGATCATGGTGGTGGTGGTGGTGAGGATGAGGATGATCATGATGATATTGACATTGATGATGTGGCTGATGATGACAATGGCAACGATGGCGATGAGGATGCTGATGCTGATGCTGATGACTGGCATATTCGTGTCGATGCCGACGACGCTACCGACGATTGCGATGGTGATGATGATGAAACTGATGCAGATGATGATGATGATGATGATGCTGATGCTGATGCTGATGCTGCTGCTGATGATGATGATGATAATGATGATGATTATGATGATGATGATGATGATGATGATGATGATGATGATGATGATGATGATGATGTGATGACGTGATGATGATAATGATAATGATGCTAACGACGGCGACGACGATGACGATACTGATGATGAGGATGAGGATGCTGATGATTATGATGATGATGATGATGATGTTGATGAGTACGGCGACAATGCTGATGATGTTGCCGATACTGATGTTGACGAATAAGATGATTTCGATGATGAGGATGCTGATGATGATGGTCAGACGGATGGTGATTCTGATGATGAGTTTGACGATGCTGGTGCTGCTGATGATGAGGATGATGAAGATGAGGATCATGATGACGATGATGCTGCAGATGATGATGATGATGTTGCTCATGATGCGGATAAGACTGCTGCTGCTGATGATGATGATGATGATGATGATGATGGTTGTGGTGATGATGGTGATGATGATGCTGATGATGCTGATGTTGAGCCTATGGTGATCTGCATGTTGAGGACGGTGATGAGGATGACGGCGTTGAGGATGCCGCTGCTGCTGATGTGGATGATGGTGATGGAGACGATGATGCTGATGTTGATGATGTTGATGCTGATTATTATGATGATGTTGATGCTGATGACGATGATGCTGACGATGCTGTTGACGATGATGACGATGATAATTGTGGTTGCCGATGACGATGATAATGATGATGATGGTTATGGTGATGATGATGATGATGATGATGATGATGATGATGATGATGATGATGATGATGATGATGATGATGATGATGATGGCGATGATGAGGATGACGATGATGATGATGATGATGCTGCTGATGATGATGATGATGACCATTCTGATGCTGCTGCTGCTGCTGATGATGATGCAGACCGAAGTGAGTAGGATGGTTGGATTGGGCATACACATGGTGACGATTTCGATGTTGATGATGGCGAGGGGGAGCTTCAACAGGGACAAGGAGGCGTAGGAGCAGCATGACTAGCAATATCAGCAGGAACAGCGGGAGTAGGAGCAAGAGCAGGTCGTCGCGAGAAGGGCCTGCGCGGCTTCTGCCTCCTGTCAGACTTCCTGGACGCCTCCAAGACTGTCGCCAAGCTAGTAGATCTGATTTCTGTGAATCTAGCTTCTTGCTGATTCCTTGGCGCCGATTCGTGGCATCAGTCCTTGTCGTATTATGCGTAAGAGTGCATGTGTTAGTATGCGTGCACCGCGCGGCAGCCATGTGGACCCATGCCCGACGACGGGGGTTAGGTGCGTCTCGAGCCACAGAGCTTCGAGCCACAGCCAGGGAAGGCGCGCCTTCGGCTCCACCTCGAGCGAGAGTCGCCCTCGCCCAACCGGACGGCTGCGCCATAGTCCCTCCCCGAAGGATCCTTGAGCTGAGCGCAGTAGAGTCTGATTAATGGGCCGACCCTGCAAGTTAATGGTGTCCGGGCTTCCTGCTTTTCACCTTCCAGGACCTCTTCATGTCTGGAGCATGGACCGCCCTCGGAAGAGATGCGTGTCCTCTCGGATGCCCTCTGCAAACAGTCCCGACTAGCTGCGTCAACGCCTCACCAAGACGATCATGCGCAGCGATATCTGCAGACCTCTCGTTCAAGACTCCTGAGGGGGTGATGCTCTCACCACCTGCGGCCTCGAACTCGTCTTCGTAGATCAGCTCCATTGCCTTGGCCGCGACTTTTGATAGGAGCTTAAACACGAGGGGGCCAATCACAGTCATCTGGCACGTCTCTATCTTTCCACACATTCATGCAGGCACCCGCCCACTTCCTCCACGCGCGATGCTTTCTGCTGACATCAGCTTCTGTTCCTGGGAACCGTCGCACGGCACCACGCGCGCTCCCTTGACTCACCATACCGCAGCTGTTACCTTTTAGTCCTTAGCTGTCAAGACGAGGCGGCTTTGCCTTCAGCGCCCGCGCCCTTGCTCCACCGAGGGGATCCCGCGCTCTTCCGCTGCACCAGTGCAGATAGCCCGCGGGAGCGCGACTGGCCGCCTCCCTTCCGCCTGGAGCCAGGCCAACTGCTTGCATGGTGTAGACATCACACTGCTGACGGCTACGCTGGGAATAGCTCCTCTGATTCATGGCTAGCATGCTCACCTCGCCCATGCACCCTGATCAGCAGGCCACCTGTGGCTTCCTGGGGCCTTCCCCTGGTGCTTGTGGGAGCTCCCTCGACCTTCCCGTAGCCTCCTGGGACTGGTTGCGGCTCCCTAGGGGCTCCAGGAGCTTCCTGGGTCCTCCTGCTGCCTCTTGGTATCTCCTTGTGCCATCCTGGCGCTTCCTGCAGCCTTCGGGAATTTCTCGGGACCGTCGGGCCTCCTGGGCCTTCTGGAGTCTCCGGAGGCTCCTGGGGTCCTGGGGCTGCTTGATGTTTGTCCCGCGGCCTTCTTTGCAATCGCGGCTCTGACGGAACAGCCGCTTGTGATGAGCCTCTACCCGATTGCACCCGTATGCCGATATAACTCCTTGTCCTTCATCTCCTAACCTTTTCAACCAACTCCTTCTCCTCATTTCTTCTCCAGCTGCCAGCGTAGCGAGCACTGAAGCCTGCGCCGCAGCACATCACCCGCGCACTCGAAGCGCCCGCACTGGTTGCCACCAGGGGGGCCGAACGAAGTAGCAAAGAGATGTCGTTGCCGCGTGCTTTTCTCCCCTGAGGGGCGTTCCTCGGTAAACGGGTGCGAGGAAGGAACACGCGTAAAACACCTCTTTCGAAGGGGGCGACCTCCGTCCAGGTACGAGTTGTAAATGCTTTCACATCGTGCCAGGATTTCAGATCCAGTCTCAAGCGACAGCCCCATGTCGGAACAGTATGAGCTTCCAAGACGAGCGCGCACGGCGCGCCAACGCTAGGTCCACATGTTTAGCCTTTATCAGTTGGTAACTTGTGAGCCGAATGCGTGCGGCGCTGCGGAGACAGCAACGTTTTGAAAGTTGGCCACCCTCAATCCGTGTTGCTGCTACCCTCTCCACGCTTAATGCAATGACCATACGTCGTGAGGAAGTCTCAGGCGAAACGCATGGACCACCCCACTGACAGGTCAGTTGATGTAAGGAGGAGGCAGAGGAGGAGGACGAGGAGGACGAGGAGGAGAATGAGGAGGACGAGGAAGAGGAGGAGGAGGAGGAGGACGAGGAGGAGTGGGAATGGGAGTGGGAGTAGGGGTATGATGATGACGATGATGATGACGATGATGATGATGACGATGACGATGACGATGATGATGATGACGATGATGATGATGATGATGATGATGACGATGACGACGATGATGATGATGATGATGATGATGATGATGGTGATGGTGATGGTGATGGTGATGGTGATGGTGAGGATGACGATGACGATGATGATGCTGATGATGATGACGATGATGATAATGATGATGATGATGATGATGATGATGATGATGATGATGATGATGATGATGATGATGATGATGATGATGGAGGAGGAGGATGATGATGATGATGATGATGATGATGATTATTCGGAGGAGGAGGAGGATAAGGATGGTGATTAAGAGCAGGAGGAGGTGTAGGAGGAGGAGGAGGAGGAGGAGGAGGAGGAGGAGGAGGAGGAGGAGGACGAGGCGGAGGTGTAGGAGGAGGAGGAGGAGGAGGAGGAGGAGGAGGAGGAGGAGGAGGAGGAGGCGGAGGAATATTGATTCACACAAGGAAGACGACTGGAGAACCCTCTTCTCGCGTCGAAGCCCAATCGGGCAGAACCCTCATCGGCGGTCCCTCCGATCTGGGTAGCTTTGGCATCGCCCTGGATCGTGACCTCCCAGAGGCCCGCCGAGGCTTCCGAGGGCCAGTGCCTCAATGCCTTCCGAAAGCACCACTCCCCTTCGGTCCTCGAGGGCCGAGGACAGACCTCAGCGCTCAGAAACCTCTAGCCCTGATCGCCGAAGCTCGATCGATCGACGACGGCGGCGGCAGCGGAGGCGACAGCGGCGACGTCGAGCAGCTACGGAGGTGACGGCGACGACGGTGACGACGAGCAACGCGAGACGACGGCTGCGGCGGCGACGACCCAGGCAGCAGCCGCCGCTGCGGAGGCCGCCGCTGCCGAGGCGGCGCCGAAGGCCGCCCATTGGGGGGCCGGCCGGAGCAGCCGAGCCCCCGCCCTGCGCTCCTTTTCCAGCCTCCTCGTTGTCCCCCCTCCCCCTCCCTGCACCCTCCTCGTCGTCCTCCTCCTCCTCGTCCTCGTGTTCCTCCTCCTCCTCTTCCTCCTCCTCCTCCTCTTCCTCCTCCTCCCCTCCCCTCCCCCTTCTCCTTGTCCTCCTCCTTCCCCCCTCCTCCAGGGCCGGGAGGCCGGGGATTCTCCCGCCTCGTCGTCCCCCTCCCCCTTCCCTCCACCGTCCTCTTCCTGCCGCATGCAATAGCTGTCGTGAACACACTGCATCATCACAGAGACCTTGGAGAGATCCTTCCCCCCCTCCTCCCCCCGCTCCTCTCCCTCCCCAGCCTCCTCCTCCCTCAATCTCCTCCTCCCCCTCCCTCTCCTCTTTGTCCTCCTCCTCTCTCCCCCTTCTCCTCCCCCCTGCTCCCCCCCTCCTCTTCTTCCCCTCCCCCATTCCTGCGCCCTCCTTCTACAATTGCTCCATCTGAACACTATTCTCCTCTCTCCCACGGCTACGTCTTGAAAGTATCCCGCCCTCTCCGTGCAGTGTTCCGTGCGAACTGGATTTTTGGTACTTTAGGATTAATATGATTTTTCACTCCGAATGTTCTCGGTGTTTCAAGACGATGCTCTTGCTGCAGCGTGGGCCTCATTTTAGGATCGGCGCTTTGCCCCCGTCGTTCAGGATGGCGCTCTCGCCCCAGCGCGTGCCACTTCTCTGGATTCGAGTCCTTCCTCATCGTTGTCACCCCGCTCCTTTCCCCTCCCTCACCTTCCCGCTGTCATCCTGCTCGTCCCGCTCCGGGGACCCTCTGCAAGGGCGTCCATGGTCTCTGGGGCGAGGGATCCAGGGCGCTTGAATGATGAGGGTCGCTGGCGAGCTGACCCTCGCGATCTTGCAGCTCAGTCCAGACCAGCGCCTTAAGCCCAGCGGTGAAAATTTTCATGATGGATCTGCTCCAGAGTTAGCCTTACTCGTTCACATTTTTCTCCAACTAGGCTTGCCCTATTTGGAGTCCTAGCTCATCATAAGTAATTGGTCTTTAGCCCTCCTCCCCTTTTTCCAGTGCCCCCCCTTCTTCCAACGGCCCCCTCAGTTTTCCAGTGGCACCTGCTTGCTTGCTTGCACTTGATCGCTGGCTCTAGCTTGCGCTTGCTTGATTTGGCTCCTCCCGTCCTCCTCCTGTCCTGCTCCCGTCCTCCTTTCGTCCTCCTCCCATCCTCCTCTCGTCCTCCTCCTGTCCTCCTATCTATTTGGAGTCAGCGCTGGCTGATATTATGCTTTAGAAGATCAGAAGCAAGGGAACCACTTGTGTTTACGCCATGTGCAGTTTCCGGTCGAGAGCTCTGATCTAGTCATCGTGCTGTGGTGGCTTGGGGCATTTGATCCCCTGTTTCGAGGATCGGCTCGGGCAGCCTGCGCTCCAATTCGGCGCCCGGGGCATGGCTGGGCCACGCGCGGCGTCCAGTCTCGAGGACCCGCACCTTCCCGCTCTGTGTGAACAAAAACACACAGTCTGTGGGACAAAAACACAGTGTGTGTGTGTGTGTTTTTTCCCTACAGTGTGTGTGTGTGTGTTTTTGTTTTGTGTGTGTGTTTTGTGTTTTTTTCCCACAGGCTCGGACCGAGCGCCCCAGCTCTGCCCAAATGGCACCGCAGGCGGAGCCGCCCAAGGCGGAGGCGCCGAAGGCGGAGGCCGCGGCCGCGCCGGGCGAGCCGGCCGCGGCCGGCGCCGCGAGGCGGGCGAAGGCCGCAGGACACGGCCCGCGGCTCGGGGGCGCCGCGTGCCGCCGGCCAGGGCCGCCGCCTCGCGCCGCCGCCGCCGCCGCCGCGCCGCCGCCGCCGCCGCGCCGCCGCCGCGAAGCGGCGAGGGGCCGCAGGGCCGCGCTGCCGGCCGCGGCCGCTCGTGGGGGCGGCACGGTCTGCGGCGGCTTTGGCGTCGTCCACGGTCCACTGAGCCTGCGGCCTTCTGCAGGCCGGCCCTTCGCCGGCCCGCCGCTCGCCTTTCCCCCCCCCCCTTCCCGAGGTTGTCGCGCATCCTGTCCGACCAGTCGAGGGCCCGCAGATCTGGTACCCACCCTGTCCACCATCAGCCCATCCCTGCCCCCCGAGAGATCCGAATATCGGTCAGTGTTGATTCCAAAGGAACGTATCAGCCAGCGTTGGTTCCAACTAGATAGGAGGACAGGAGGAGGACGAGAGGAGGATAGGAGGAGGACGGAAGGAGGACGGGAGCAGGACGCGAGGACGGAGGAGCATAATCAAGCAAGCGCAAGCAAGCGAGCGGAAGCAAGCAAGCGCAAGCGAGCAATAACAAGCAAGCAAGACCCAGCGATCAAGGGTAAGCAAGCAAGGGCAAGCAGGAGCAAGCCAGCGAGAGCAAGCACGCACGAGCAAGCAAGCAAGTGCCAATGGAAAAGGGGGGGGGTGCATTGGAAAAAAGGTGGGGGGTGCCATTGGAAAAGGGCGGGCTAAATATTAATTACATATGATGAGCTAGGACTCCTGTAGGGCAAGCCTACCTGGATAATGAGAGCAGTTACCCGCAAGGAAGCAGTTATGGCATGGATGGCGCAAGTCAGAAACTCACATCTACACATACATCTGCGCATACCACTCATATACACACTTGTACATACACACGTACGCGCGCTCTCACCCACACGCATACGAAGCGGTATGAGCCCCTACAGCAAAGTGTGGAGGGGGAGTTCGTGGGCGGTCTCCTTCGAGATGCCTAAGCGAATGAGCCCCCCGTCAGGCTGAGAAGCTGGTGGCTCGGGGGTGCTCGGAACTTGCCCGCTCGTACCTGGCACCGACCACGGCGCTCCTGGGGGCTCGCGCAGACAGAATCCCCTGGGGCTGGGGCTGGGGACAGTTGCGCTGCCCTGGCTCCCAGCCCTACTGACGGCGGCAGTGGTGAGCGAGGCGCGAGTGTGCCGCGGCTGCGAGAGGGGGGGGGGGCCGAGGGGGGGCGCTGAGCTGTCCCACCACCCGTCTCCCCCCTGGAGCTCCTGGAGGTGAAGACTCTGGGCGTCTCGTAGAGCCGGAGCGCGGGGAGCTCTTCGGCGAGCCGAGGCGGGGTGCCGACGCCCCTCGGCCGTGGGAGGGAAGGGAACGACGCGCACGCGTGCGCTAACACCTCCTCCTCGGTGGCCTCGTACACGGCGTCGACCCGGCCTCCTGTCGCGCGGAGCGTGGCTGCAGCACACGGGATTAGGGAAGGCGAGAAGGAGAGAGAGAGAGAGAGAGAGACCAGGCGAGGAGAGGACAGGAACAGTTCTGAGCTGCTGGAGCCCCCGGCTGGAGGCGCCATCATTGCACGACCTTGACGTCCACTGCGCACGCGGCGGCTGGTACAGCAGGGGAGGTAGATAGCAGAGGCCCGAAGGCGCAGAAGGCATGGACGATCAGCGACGGGAGGACTGGCAGCGAGTTGAGGCACCAGGCTGCGGCGCAACGTGCACACTATTACACATACGAGCACTTTTCCTTCGGCAGCCACGTGCGCAGCAACGTGGCGGCCGAAAGGGATGCACAGGCAATAGAAAATATCAGCCAGCATTGACTCCAAAGAGATAGGAGGACAGGAGGAGGACGAGAGGAGGATGGGAGGAGGACGAAAGGAGGACGGGAGCAGGACGGGAGGAGGACGGGAGGAGCAAAAACAAGCAAGCGCAAGCAAGCGAGCGGAAGCAAGCAAGCGCAAGCGAGCAATAACAAGCAAGCAAGACCCAGCGATCAAGGGTAAGCAAGCAAGGGCAAGCAGGAGCAAGCCGAGAGCAAGCACGCACGAGCAAGCAAGCAAGTGCCAATGGAAAAGGGGGGGGGTGCAAGACCAAGTACTTATGAGGAACTAGGACTCCTATAGGGCAAGCCTATTTGGAGAATGAGCTAGGACTCCTGTAGGGCAAACCTATTTGGAGAACAACAGGGAAGGACGGACCAGGAGAGGCGGCGGCCAGGGCGGTGATAACTTTTCTTGGTCGGCGGGGCGAGAGCGAACCTCTTCCGCTAAAAGCTAGGCGGGCGACGCACAGCTTTAATTAGGGAGACAGGGCACATGAGGGCGGGGCCTCAGGCGGCCGAAGCGGGCGGAGCCCGGGGTGCAGGCGGTGCCGAAGAGCTTGCACAGGAAAAGGTACGCCGCGGACAGGGACCGGAGGCGAAGATCCGGAGGGCGAGCGATGTGGTGTTGCCGTCAACGGCACGTCGCGAACACCAGCCTCAAGCACTGCAGAGGAGGACGTGCCACTTGTCCAGGTCGACGTCCACGAGGGAGAGGAGCACCACGAAGGCGATGAGCAACGTTGTGCCACCGGATGATGCGTAGGAGGCCCAGGAGGAAGAAGAGCACCACGAAAGCGATGTGCAGCGTTGTGCCACCGGGTGATGCGGATGAGGCCCAGGGTGGTAGTCCAATCCACGACCAGGAAACAGCCTGCTAGAGGTGCGGCCACAGACGAGGGCCGTCCTTGTCCGACAGGATGTCGGTGGAGTGCAGGGAGAAAATCTGTCCTACAGGGCGGTGGTAACACACATACGCCTGTCGCGTTTGCCAGTACTCTCGGCCCGAGTCGGGCAAGCACGAGTGCATCACACTCCATCGAACGATGCGCGCAGGGCACGCCGCGCGCGCGTTCCTCATCGTGCTGTTCAAAGGCACTAACCCTGGGCACGTGCCCTCCCAAACCTCCTCCGCCGCGGTTGGCGGCCCCACGCGCCTCCTGCCGCGGCTCGGAGCATGGACCCTGTTGCTGCGGGTGCTCCTCCTCCGTCGCCCCTCGTTGCCCCCTTGGCGCTCGTGCGCGGATGCCGCAGTGCTGCTCCAGCGCGCGTGGGGGGCCGCTGCGCGAAGCAGCGAGGTCGCCTGCGGGTGCCGAGGGCCTGCTCGCCCGCCCCCCCTCGGGACGCACTTCGGGGGCGTGAGCGGCGCCCTGCCCTTCCTCCCGCGGCGCCCTCCTCCTCCTCCTCCTCCTCCTCCTCCTCCTCCTCCTCCTCCTCCTCCTCCTCCTCCTCCTCCCCCTCCTCCTCCTCCTGCTCCTCCTCTGGGAAGCCCCCCCCCGGGCCTCCGCCTCGCCTGCCCCCCTGCCGCGCAGGAGGGCAGGGCGGCGCGCGGCCGCCGCCAGCCGACGATAGGACCCTGGGGGCGTCGGCGGCCCCCCCGTCGCCTGGGGGGTGGGGGCCGGGCGTGTGCGACGCAGGCGCGGGCAGCACGTTGTCTGCGTGTTCCGCGCAGGCGGCAAGGAAGGCAGGTGGTGTGCAGAGTGGGGAGGGAACAGCGGCGACGACGACGACGCCCGGGAGGAGGACGGTTGCGAGGACGAGGATGAGTAGACGGATGAGGGAGAGGAGGATACACACATGACGAGGAGGAGGGCGAAGTGAGGCAGGCGGAGAGAGGCGGAGGGAGGCGGAGGGAGGAGGAGGAGGAAGAAGATGAGGAACATGATAATCAGCAGGAGGAGGAGGAGGAGGGGAAGGAGGAGGAGAAGTAAGATGATCAGGAAGAGGAGGACGAGGAGTAAGAAACGACGAGGATGAGGATGAAGAGGAGGAGGAGGAGGAGGAACACGGAGAAGAGAAGGACGAGTCGTATTATCAGGACTGCTATTCGCATTCGTATCAGTATCGAGAGGTGGATCTGAGACAGAGGGCTGAGGCGATGGTGGTTTTCACAACAAGTCTGGAATAGTTACGCGAACGTTCGGGGAACGTCCCAGGTTCGTTGATCGGGTTGGTGTTTTCGGCCATCGCTGTCTTTGAATGCCACAGCATACAGCATTGTCAAATACAAGCGCATTTGTCCAGTTCGGGAATCAGTGTCGTTTTTCTTCAATCCGTTTGAACTTCGTTTGAACGCGATCTTGATGCTATTTAGAGCTACTAGTTTGCGTAGGGCGAACTTTATTAGACTTGTTCATCAACTCGGAGCTTTTTGGATCGTTGTTTGAGTTTTCAGCAACCTAGATCTTTTGACCTTCATGTGAATTTTGAGGTTTCGTGTTTTTGTTTGAATTTCTAGATTCCAACAATGTTTGGTTGCAGATGTTTGAATGTCACGTGGACTTCGTTTGGTCTGAAGATTTCCTTGCGCGCATGTTGTAGAATCATGCGTAGCATCTTTCATTTTCTTAACACATGTACGCCTTTGCCTCAAGTTCGGCGTTACACTATGAGTAGCTGTAGGGATGACGTCTGTAGTAGCAGTAGTCGTAGTCGTAGTTGGCGGCCGTTTAGAAGCTATCGTTCACTGTTTTTGCGTATCTGTTTGCTTGTTCGTTAGGTAATTACTTGGTTTGTTGATGGTTGCTGGTTTGATTGTATTGCTGTTGTGTTAGGATATGCTACATGTTTGTTGTCCTTGCTGATCTGGTATCAGGTACTATGAAGGGAGAAGCGGATGACGATACGAAAGGGGGATAGGAGCAGTCGGGAGTAGCACTTCCAAAATTAGCGGGATGTACTTGAGGCCCAGACTGCCCACCCGTGCTGAAGGAGCCAGTCTGAGACGAGGGCCGTGCCAGGGCAGAAGACAAACGTAAATAAAAGCGGCCCCCATCGCGGCCCAGCAGGTCCGTCCCCACAGCAGGTAGCCTCTCGCCGTCGCTGCCGCCGAAGCCGTCGCCGTCAACTCCCGAGGGAGGCCAGCGGGACAGACCCGCGGGGCCGCCGAGGCGGCGCGCCCTGCAGCAGCGCCAACGCCCCCCCCCAATGAGGGGCCGCACGGGCCTGCTGCAGGGTGGGCTAAGACAACGCGAGCACCCTCATGTCCACGACGCCTGCGACCAAACACACTTTTTTGATCTGCGGGGCGAGAGCGAACCTCTTCCGCTAAAAGCTAGGCGGGCTATTCACAGCTTTAATTACGGAGACAGGGCACAGGAAGGCGGGGCCTCAGGCGGCCGGAGTGGGCGAAGCACAGGGGTGCAGGCGGTGCCGAAGTGGATGTGCAGGAGGACCTGCGACCAAACACACGCCACGAACAACATTGTGATGGCGATAATCTCGTAGAACTTGACGGCCCCAAAGCCGATCGGTAAAGCTCAAGCCCAAAGTCTGAATTACACCCCACACGCCGAGCAACAAAAACTATCGATCTCTGGCCATGGGATACCAACATCATCATCCTCTCTTACTGCTTCTTCTTCCTCTTGGGGCGATCGTCGGGGTCCTCCATGTCACCGTCGTCCTTGTCGGGCGCCTGCTGCTGCTGCTTGCGGGATCTTGGACGACATCGAAGCGACATCATCCACTTCACCGTGGGGCCGTCCTGGGAGTGCATGGGGACAATCTGCAGCGCCTTGGCCGCACCCAAGCGGTTGGTCTCCATCCACTCGATCACGTGAAGGATGACGACCTGGAACTGGCCCATGTCCGTGGAGCTCACGTCGCAACGAAGCGCACCCCAGATCCAAGGGCGGCCCTCCTTCGGCGTCTGGTGCTTCGCCTTCATGCGGAAGATGAGCGCGTTGACCTGGGGGTTGGTGAGCTTGGTCATCCACTCGCTGGCCTCCTTGGCCGCCGCCGCGTCGGCATGGATGGCGGAGTTGAGGGCCTTCATCAGGAACGCGAAGATCAGCGAGCGCTGCGAGCCCATGCTGTGTGGCCCGATCGGTGGGCGCTCCTTGTTGGCGCTCTTCGCCTCGGCGACGGCCAACTCGTGCTTCTCCTGCCTCGTGTTCGCGGCATCCCGATGGGCATCGCGTAGCTTCTCCATTCCTGTCTTGATCTCCTCCCCACGAATCAAGAACACAAAAGAACTGCGATCCATCAGCATGTTGATGTTGCGTTCGTGCTGCGCAATGACCGTTTTGACCGCGCGCAACCGATTCTGAACACTGCCATCCTTGCCCTTGCCCTTTCCCTTGTCCGTGCCAGAGGAAGCTGGAGCCGAAGCGGACGTGGCACTCATCGCCTTCAGCGCGGCATCGAGTCCGTCCGCCATGGCCAGCAGGAATACAAGTGAACAGCACGGTGAAGCTCAAGAAGGATCCAGATCTCATGCTGTAACCTTGAGCCCAGCGGCTGCACGACGGTCACGGCATTGAGTCTTACGGGCGCGGACGGCACGTTCTGACGCGAAACGAACACCACGATGGGGACATGGACAGTTCCAAGTCGCGATAACGGCAGTTGGCGCATATATCAGGCGTTTGCGTTCAACTTGCCTGGCATACTTTGAGTACGGCATGGCCTTGCAGTTGTATTTGTGCATCGCAAACGGAGCACTCTCCTTACACAACGGACATGTAAAACTGGCTGCCGTCTTTGCTTGCGAAGTGCTAGTAGCGCGACTAGTATCACTGTTCGCGGTCCTCTCGTAGCTGTTACGCGGAGCTCTGTGTTTAACGGGTCCTCGGAGGGCTTGTCTGTGAGCAGCATGTGAAGCACCAAGTCGAAGGCCTAGTACATACTCACCTGCACCTCGGGCCTTCTTGGAGATCCTCGTACGAACCCGAAGACGTGCACCCAGAGGCCGTTGGACTGGAACAACTGCTGCTGCTGCTGCTACTGCTCCTACTGCTCCTACTGCTCCTCAAGGTCCTCGGAGAGCCTCGAGAGGATTACACATTCGGCGAAGCCGTCGTACTAGTGGAGGTGGAGGTAGTGGTGAGCGGGGTCGGGCCGAGCACGCGATGGTTGATTTATGTGTTGCTGCTGCTGCTGCTGGCCGGGGCCCGCCACGGGCTCCTGCGGCTCCTGACATGCCGCGAGGGACATCGCGAGGGTTACACTTTCGGCGGACCCGTCTTTCAGGTGGAGGTGGAGGAGGTGGTGGTGGCGGAGGCCCCTTGCAATGGCGTCGATGGACGTTGAGATCGGCAAGCCGTCTCGCACGCATGCTGCGCCGCTCCTGTTCGCGATGAACTGGGGCGAGAGGCGCGGCGCGAGCGAGGCGGCACCTAAGATGAAGCGAATGTCAAGGTACTTGCCCCCCACACATCTGACACAGGGCGCACGACCTGCGGAGTTGAGAGTCTGGAGTGAAATCAAAGCCTCCTGCTCAGCATGTTCGGGTTCACTGGTGTGTCCTCCTCCTCCTCCTCCTCCTGCTCCTCCTCCTCCTCCTCCTCCTCATCGTCCTGCTTCTTCTCCTCTTCCCCATCTTCCTCCCTCCGCAAGTGCCCTCGGCGCCTGCCGCGCTCCAGGGGCCGCGCCGCCGTGCGCAGATGTGCTCCCGCCGCCAGCTTCGGGCCTGACGGGCTCCCACAGCGAGGGGATTCGTGCCGGGCAGTGCCCTGGCCGATTTTCACCATTTGGGTTTGCTGTGGTCTGGGTGTTTGGGGCCGCGCTTTGACCCCAAGCGGAATTGTCGCTCTTGTACTCGCTGTCTTTCGCAGGACTCACTTGCACCGTTACCCGGGAGCGTCATCCACTGACTGCACCCGCAGTTCGACGAGCCTGCTTCGTCACATCCCGAAGAGCTTCACGCTCTGAGGGCTCCCCTGCCGCGCGCAGTCTCCTTCTTTCTGCTGGTCTTTCCCTTTCCCGCCTGTGCCGCAATTCGCTTCGCCCGTGCCCCAACGTAGCCCGCCCGCAACTCTGATCCCAGACGCCGCTGACCAACAAGTTCTGGGGAACTCTGCCTTCGGCAAAGTGTTGGGCCCTGTGCCTGGTGCTCCCCGCCTGCGCCACCGCGCGCAGGTCAGGGGCGGCATCTGCGGCAGCACCTGCTGCGTAGCACCCGCGACCTGGCCTTTTGGGGGGCGCCGACCGCGTGCGATTGGAGATTTTAGTCGATTTTGGTTCTGTTCGGGCCTCCGGGGACCTCCTCCTCCTTCTCCTCGTCTTTCCCCCCTCTTCAGTCCTTCTTCTTCTTCTTCTTCTTGTTAATATTTTTCTTCTTCTTCATATTATTGGGATTATTGCCATTACTTATTATTCGCATCATTATTATTATTATTGTTATTGTTATTATTATTATCATTACTATTATTGTTATTTATTATTATTATTACTACTATTATTATCCTTAGTATTATTCTTAGTCTTATTATTCGTATTATTGCTATTATCATGCTTAGTGTTATGATTGATGTTCTTATGCGCTACTACTAGTGTTATTATTTTTAAAGTATTTTCATGATTCTCATTGCTATTACTACCATTATTATTGTTCTTACTTTTAATACTATTATTGGTATTGCTATTTTTATCAGTATTATGATTATTGCCGTTCTTGTTATTCTTCTTTCTTTTCTAGCTATTGTTATTGTAGTAGTATTGTTATTATGAATGTGTGTTTCGTCTTCTTCTTCTCTGTCTTCCTGCCTGTCTGTCTGTCTGTCTGTCTGTCTGTCTGTCTGTCTGTCTGCCTCGCTCTCTCTCTGTCTCCCCCATCCCTCCCTCCCTCCCTACCTCCGTGCTTCCTCCCTCCGTGCTTCCTCCCTCCCTCCCTCCCTCCCTCCTCTTGCTTCCTTTCCCACTCTTTCTCCGACCCGACTTGGCGGGCGCTGGCGAGGAGTTCAAGCTGTAGCAGCAGCACCAGCGCCAGCACCAGCGAACCTCCGCCCAAGCGAGGCGCAGCCCCCCGAGTGGGGGAAGGGGTGGACGGGGGAATGAGGAGGGTGGGTGGGGGTGCTTCAGCATTTTCGCCGTTCTCGGTGCACTCTGTCTGGTAAGTCGCAAAGCCTCGAGAACAAGTTCGCTGTCTACAAGCGCGAGTGAGGGCCGCGGACCCAGCACTCCCCCCATCGCGGGTTGGCCTCTGGCTGGACACAGTGTGAGTCCGCTTTCGCGGCTACCGAGTTGGGCCGCTTTTGGGGCCCTCGTCGCCACGGTTGGATCCGCCTCGGAATTCTGTTCACAACGCGCTCCAGGAGGGATCGGAGCGAGGTGGCCGCACAGCCCCTACAGACGTGCATCCGAGAGGCATGAATCATTGAAAAACACATTGTTTGAAAACGATTTCTGGCTTCTTCCTTTTTCGCTCTCGCTGGGCTCTTCAGGCCTCCACATGACCTCAAGCTGGCCCATGAGAGGCCCCGGACGGGCTCAGAAGGGGCCGAAGACGTCCCGTGAGGCCCTCAAGAAGCCTCGAAGAGGACCCCAAGAGGGCCCCAAGAGGGTCCCATACCCGTCCAAGTTGCGGGAAGGCTAAGAGAGTCCAGCGGCCTGCTTTGTGGGAGGGAAGACGTAAGAAGCACGAGGAGGACCAGCATCATCCAGCATCATCATCATGAGTCGCTCGGCAGCCCAGCGCGCCAGACGAGCATGGACCATGCGCAGACCAGCACGACAGATCAGGTGGAGCACGGCAGACCAACAATGCACACCTGCACCGCAGGTCGGTTCGGCACGGCAGGCCTTGTGCCCCGTCAGTTCGAATATCATGGCTCGGACGAGGTGGGGAGTCTTGCGGCGTGGGGTATGGGCAAGGGGTGAGCCCCTCCCTGAATGGAAAGAAGGGGGGGAAGGTGGAAGAGGACACGCTCTAAACCACGTCAGTCCAGAGGGCTTGTGGCATTAGTCGCACCAGCCATTAACTGGCACTGAGTACCCAGATCTCGCCATTATCGACAAATAAACGGCCAGCACCGCTGCCCGTAACCATCGGTGCCGCCACTCGAGCTACGACGTCCGCCACACTTTGGATACTGCTCCAGGCACGACCGGCGATACGCCCACAGTTGCCGCCACCATTTTCTCGCTGCGCACGCAGCGATATTGCGCTCGACGCCTGACGCCTGGTGTCCGCCGCCGCCCCCGCCCCGCCCCGCCGCCGCTAGCTTCCGCCTGGCACCAGTTTCGCGTTCTGCTCTCCCTCCCCGCTCCGCTTCAGCTCGCCTGCAGCCCCCAATGCATGCTAGGTCCAATAATCCGGGGACGTACCCAACCCTTGTAAGCATGTGGCGAGTATACATCGGATCGCTCAATACACAAGCAATCATTGAATGATCCGCAATGCCCTTGAACGCTTCGCCAAAGAACGTCGGGCCAGAGTCAGATGTTTGACACATGTGGCGTCACTCTTAAGAGTCAGGTCGTTGGCAGGACCGTGACCACGAGCGGGCGTGGAAACATGTGGAGAGGGACGATTGGAGACATGATTCGTGGGAGTAGCAGCGCCTTGCGCTGTGTTCGAATTGCAGGACAGCGCTCTGCGCACCATGGCAGTACAGCGCCTTGCGCTAAACGTAGCATCTGCCCGCGTGCATTACTAGCAACAGGCAGCTGAAGAAGGGATGCGGCATGGACAACGGACAGCGCAATGCGCTATTCGCTGCGCGGCGCTCACACACGCCGCGACCGCGTAGGACGTCACTCCGCAGGCCCTCCCAGAACCCCGCGACAGTGGCGACAGCTTCGCAGATCGCAGCCCCCTCATCCGGGGGGCTGGCGAGGTCTCGCGGTGATCCGCGTAAGACGTCAATCCGTTGGCCCTCCCAGAAGCCCAGCGTGCCGACAGCTTCGCAGATCGCAGCACCCCCCCCAGGGGACGGCGAGTTCTCGTGGTGATCCGCGTAAGACGTCGCTCCGCTGGCCCTCCCAGAGGCCCACGAAGGTGGCGACAGTTTTGCAGATCGCAGCCCCCCAGGGGACGGCGAGGTCTCGCGGTGATCCGCGTAAGACCTACCTCCGCTGGCCCTCCCAGAACCCCACGAAAGTGGCGACAGCTTCGCAGTTCGCAGCCCCCCAGGGGGCGGTGAGGTCTCGTGGCGATCCGCGTAAAACGTCACTCCGCTGGCCCTCCCAGAAGCCCACAAAAGTGGCGACAGGTTTGCAGATCGCAGCCCCCCATGGGGCGACGAGGCTCGTGGTGGTCTGCGTAGGGCGTACCTCTGCTGGCCCTCCCAGAAGCCCACGAAGATGTCGCAGATCGCACACCGCAGCCCCCCGGGGGGACGGCAAGGTCTCCTGGGGATCCGCGTGAGACGTCACTGCGCTGGCTCTCCCAAAAGCCCACGAAATTGGCGACAGTTTCGCAGATCGCAGCCCCCCAGGGGACGGCGAGGTTTCGTGGTGATCCGCGTATACCACCGCTGGTTGGGCTCAGTCGCATCTCAGTTGTGGAAGGTTCTCTCTGGCTTCTCTGTTTCCACACCCTGGATGCGTGTTCTGACGTCGCGATGGTCCGCATCCGCCGTCAGGGTTTCCCCGCTGGACTGTGTCACCAGTCAGTCTGTGCTACTTGTCAGACTCCTTGGATTGACGTCTTCGGGACCGTTTCCTATTCGTTCGTATCCGAACTGTTGGGAACGCTTACGCGCCATTTTGGCTGCGCTCTGCTTCCTCGGTGCCTGTGTTCAGACTCCCTGGATGCGCCGTTGCATGTTCCTTTCAGGGGCTGCCCTGCAGACTCCCTGGATTGCACGCCTTGGCTCAGACGCCCTGGGTCGCTGCTGCCTGCCGCCTGACCGCGGCCTCGCGCGCGCCCGCCCTAGTCGCGGCCGCAGCCCGACCGTGACCGCCCGCCGCTGGCGCTTCCGCCTGCGGCTGCAAAAAAAAGTATACCACCGCTGGGCTTTCCAGGAGCCCACGAGATTGGCGACAGTTTCGCAGATCGCAGCCCCACATGGGACGGCGAGGTCTCGTGGTGATCTGCGTAAAACGCACCTCCGCTGGGCCTCCCAGAACCCCACGAACGTGGCGGAAGTTTCAAAGATCGCAGCCCCCCAGGGGGGACGGCGAGGTCTCGTGGTGATCTGCGTAAGGCGCACTCCCGCTGAGCCTCACAGGAACCCACGACAGTGGCGACAGTTTCGCAGATCGCAGCCCCCCAGGGGACGAAGAGATCTCGTGGTGATCCACGTAAGACGTCACCACGCTGGCCCTCCCAAAACCCCACGACAGTGGCGACAGTTTCGCAGGTCGCAGCCCCCCAGGGGACGACGAGGTCTCGCGTTGATTCGCGTAAAACGTACCTCCGCCGGGCCTCACAGGAGCCCACGAAAGTGGCGACAGGTTTGCAGATCGCAGCCCCCCATGGGACGGCAAGGTCTCATGGTGATCTGCGTAAGCGCACCTTCGCTGGGCCTCCCAGAAGCCCACGACAGTGGCGACAGTTTCGCAGGTCGCAGCCCCCCAGGGGACGGCGAGGTCTTCGTGTTGATCTGCATCAGGCGCACCTCCGCTGAGCTTCCCAGGAACCCACGACAGTGGCGACAGTTTCGCAGATCGCATCCCCCCAGGGGACAGAGAGATCTCGTGGTGATCTGCGTAAGACGTGCCTCCTGTGGGCCTCCCAAGAGCGCGCGACAGTGGCGACAGTTTCGCAGGTCGCAGCCCCTCATGGGACCGCGAGGTCTCGTGGTGATCCGCGTAAGACGTACCTCCGCTGGGCCTCCCAGGAACCCACGAAAATGGCGACAATTTCGCAGATCGCAGCCCCGCAGGGGACGGCGAGGTCTCGTCGTGATCTGCGTAAGAGCCTTCCAGTAACCCACAAAAGTGGCGACAGCTTCTCAGATCGCAGCCCCCCAGGGGACGGCGA